CTGTGTAAAACCACCTTGGGTAGACCTCGGTTTTCATCAAAACTTCAAGGAAACTAAGCGTTCAAAAGTTATGGAAGTTTAAAGTTGCAGTGATTACACGTGTATCGGCAATCGTCGCTGCGCTCCTCCACGCCGTCGCTCCGCTCCGCAGATCAAAAATCTCCCCCGACTTGCTATGCAACACCAGGTTATAGGGTAAGTTACGTCGTAGTATACGGGTAGTAATAACACAGTTACAAGTTCAAAAAAAAAAAAATAGCAAAAAAAAGGATGCCCTGTAAAGTAGAAATTTACCAAATTTTAATATTCTAAATGACAGTATAGGCAACTTCTTATACATAAAGCTACGGTCGCCTAATACGAGTTCCTATGCGGAGCATTAAAGTAGTGTTGCCCGCATACAACTTTGGATGGCTATAACTTCCAAGATAATAGTTTCCGCAAAAAAAATTCAAAAAGTTTCGAAAGAAGCGTAGAAAAACAAGTCTTTTAAAAAAAAAATTTGAAATTCTTGAGTGGCGTGGTAAAGTGCATTTTAGTAAAAAATAATTAATATTTTGTCGTGGATGTTTTGTCATCACTTATTTAAGAATATACGTAGATACCAAATTTCTGTTATGAAATACGAACACCACCATTTATGCACTGTGACGCTCTTATTTATATTAGTATAATACAGTATAATACAGTATAATACAGTATAATACAATTATTGTATTTATAATAAATAACGTACTTCAACTTTAAACGACTTTTCATGTACGTATTTTTTAAATTCCACTATTTCAACGTTAAGTTTGTCCATATCAATGTCCATTGTTTCTCTTTCTTTTTTTATTGAATTCAGTTGACTAAGAGAGCCTTTTAGTTCTTGTAATATACGGTGAATTCTATAGGAAATTGTTGGTTTAAACAAACCCCATATTTTTATACCTAGCCTTTATTATTCTTACTGTCTCGGATCATCACATTCCTTGACAAATTTCCTTAACGGCTTAACTTTAAAATTTTTTTTCATTTTGCAGGAATAATACTGTTTTTATAAAATTTGGAACACAATGAGACATTTATCATAATAGGTACATCAACAATAACTTACTAATATCTTAGCAACATAAACATATGAAACATTAACATTGGCGTGATACACACATTATAAATGTAGGTATCTATAGGTATACATTATGAATAATTATGAGTAATACAAGCAAATTTTTGTTTTTTTTTTGATAGTTTTTCTCGTATTGTGATTGTTATTTTTTTAAATATGTTCCACTGAAGTCGTCAGTATAAAACTGTCCCTCAACATTATACGTGTCGTAATTCGTATAGCTTATTATTTTTGTCCATGTTTATAATATTATGTATAATGAATGGGAAGCAATAGGCTGTATCTGAGGGGGGTCCAGTTGGTCTGGACACAACGAAATTTCTTCAATATGTCTTATTTTTAAACAAATATCAAAACCGAAATTCAATAAAATCACAATATTATGTCGCCTCAGAATGAAAAGGTTCTAAATCAATTTTTTTGAAAAATGGTTTTTTTGCATAAAATCATTTATAATTTTTTGTTGTATAATTCAATCTTGAAATCGAATCGATCCGTTGATTATTCAATGAGATACAGAGAATGAAAAGGTTCTAACTCGTAAAAACGTGAATGATAAGCGCGAAACCGAGAAATATCAGTTACAACCTTTTCATTCTAAACAATAATTAAGAATGAAATAGTTCTAAACGGTCTTAAATGTAATATCTCAGAATGAAAAGGTACCGTTATAATACGGTTATACCACTGGTACAATATAAATTATTATTGTGCCATAATAAAATATTATTCCTTCCAGCATTCCAGCATAAATGTACCGTCTATTTTTGTTTTGTTGAGGTGATAAGGTAGGTAATACCTACATGCAACATGTATATAGTACCTACTTTAGTATTATAAGAAATGGTATATTTAAATTTGAATTACGTTTTTGACATTTTTCATTATTGTGAATTATGATTTATGCCGTTTAATTTATATTGTTGCGTTTTCAATATACCCCTTCCCTACACTAATTGCGCCAATGGACCATACAATTGTAACTTATTACTTATAGTAGGTATGTCCAGGCACATACACAACAAAAAAAATTCCGGGGGGTGGGGGGACCCCCCGCCCACTACATATACGGGTATGTTATAATATAATAATACTTAACTTAAAAACTAAAAATATTGCATAATAAAAAAATGTATAATTTATAACATAGTTTACACTAGAAGTTGGTATCACTGCATAGAAAAAATGATTCAAATCAGAATGAAAAAGTTCTAACTAAATAAATAATTTTTATATTCAGAATGAAAAAGTTCTACACGTAAAACCATTTAATTCTAAAACTAATATTTTGGTTTTTTATAATTAACTCAGTCAATAATTGAGGAAAGACAAATTGCAGATATAGTTGTGTTCTTTGGAACTTTCTTGATATTGCATACAATTTTCACGATTTAGTAATTATGGTGAAAAAAGTTATTCAATGTCCTACTTAAAAACGTTCCCCTGAACAATTACATAAATTGCGTTAGAACCTTTTCATTCTGAGACGACGAATTTATACATTGTTTGGACCCACCCCCGCCCCCGAAAAAAGTTTCTGGATACGGCCTTGATGTTACGTAAATATGTTATCTATTACGTAACATAATATAATATGTATAAAGTATTTATAATTAAAATGCTTATAACATGCAATATGATATATTATTATATTTGATTTAGTAAACCCGTGTATATTAAATTTATTTGACTACCGTTTATATACCTATCTACTTATTTTTGAGTTAATTCCAATATTGTAACATGTGTGTTATGAATTTTTCAAAAGTAATAAAAAAATTTAGCTGCATATATTTAAGACTGATTTCGATCAGTTTTGTGCAACAATTATTACCTAGTCAACAACTCTATATTATATTTTTATACATTTATACACTTACTTATTTTTAACCCCCCCCCCCCCACCTCACTATTTAAATACCACACTAAACTTAGTATTATTAGGTATATTATGTTCATAATATATAATATATTAGATTATTACATTGAAAATAAAAAGATGTAAACTGTCATGAAAATTTTTTTTGTAATAATTCTGTACAATATATATTGGTCTGCTGAAAATATTTCTTGCCTTAATAGTTGTTAGCATAACCTTCAAAAAGTTGAAACGACGCCTCTCAAATAAACTATTATAGAACACATTTAATTTTCTTTTTTTTTAGTCACACATCAATTATTTCTTCAGCACTAATAGGAAAAATATGTATTTGATAGGTACATAATATGTATATTGTCCACGGTAATACAAAATTGATAATATTTTAGTATAAAACCGATCCGTACATTATCTTATTATTTCTTAAAATATTTTCTAATGTAGGAAAATGTATTTTTAATAATATATACTATATATTATGTGTATTGTAAACACAATTATATAATAATAGCCAAACAGACATATTGTGGACAATATATATATATATATTTTATGAAATCAATTTATGACTATTGATTAGTAACAAGTTCACTGCCTTGATTATCATATGTGATCATATGATACCGATATTATGACATTCAAAATTTTTTGAGATTACCTATTTATTTATTCATATCTAGGGAATTTCCCACGCCTGAAACATTAAAAAAAAAATTGAGTATCATATTATATGATGCTCAGTCGGGTTTCGTAAAACTACTGAGTGCACATATGACACTCAAGGCTTTCGTGACTAGATTAGTCAAATTGGTAGGCAGTCAACTTGCCAATTATTCAATAGTGTGTCTGATGGATGTGACGAAATAAAAATTTCCAAATTTATATCAATTTTTTGTATGTTTCCTTGTAACGCCCTATTATTGAGAACACTATTTTATAAAATTAAAAAAAAGGTCTATGGGGGATCTGAGACCCCCGCCTCTTGTATACGAACTTGACTACCATAATGACATACTATTATAATATATAGGCACAATACTAGATTGAGTTAATGAAGCACAATCACAAATTATATAAAAACTGTTTTTTATAAGCTGCTCTATAGCCTATAGGTATTATATTATGTTTCAAGTTTTTATGTCAATGGATATTGTTACCATTGTTCAGTTGCTTATTCAGTAACTTATTTTGTTCATAAGTAGGTATGCAGAGCCTATAATGAGAATTGAATATTTATTTATTATTTAGCTATTACATCTAGTAATAATAATAATCTAGTTTCTCAATACAATTGAGTTTGTAACAAACAACACAGAGGTAATCCAGGCCATATAAAGGTTTAATATAAAAAAAAAAAAGTAATCTAGTACATCTCGAAATATAAGTCTGTTATAACTAATATAGATATAAATGGAAAATAATTAATATTTAATATTACATAATAACTTAAAAATATTTCTTAAATAATTGGAAGTATGAAATAATAATGAGATTGTTTACACACTAATTATTATTATTATTATATAATAAGATACAAACATCTTAATACAGTAATAATTTATAGTATGAGATAATTAAAAAATATTAAATTAAAATAATGAATAATTAGGTACATAATGAGAAAAATATTGGCTATAGAGAAAATGTAAAACTTCGGGATGGAGGGAAATTAGTGGACCAATAAGGTCTAAGAATAGTACCTATTATACTAGTACACAAAATTAATAGATGTTCGTTGTTCGTGAATCGTTAGTGTACCTACTACCAGATAAATGAAATACAAAATTATTGGTTTATTTCTGAGAGTTAATTGTTAAATGTAGAAATATTTTATAAAAATATGAATTTAATATAAAATAGTACATATAGATTTGCAATGTACCTACGTACATGACACAATATAATTAATTTAAAAAAAAAATTATTTATTTTTTTAACTAAGTCTGCAAATGGATATTAGAATTTTATAGTAGGTACTTGTTTCATTATGGTGGTCATGATATTTTTTATTTATTTTTTTTTGCCAACGACTTCGGGCGCTTGCGGCATTACTCTTATTTGAGTGTGATTTGTATCCTTAATTGTACTCATGCCTACATCTTTGTTGCTTACATTGGAATGCAAATATTCATAACTGGCGAGGTCCGTGACTGCACGATGTCTGCCATCTTCATCATTCATTTGTAGTCCTCTTTTTGAATAAACAAAAAAAAAAACCCCATTAATATTTAGATAATAATTGATAGAAACACATTCAATGTTTTTTTTTTAAACTATTACCATTTACCGCTTACCATTAACTACTTTAGTCTATAATATACTTAATACATTATTCAACAACTAAATGTCCTTAATACAATAATATCCCTTTGACCTACGACATCTAGCCGTAATTTTTAGTGTCCATTATTACTTAATAAACACTTTGGTAAATATTTGTTCATATTACCTAATTCTTAAAAATATATCCGCTTGATGTACAAATTTTTATAATCAAAATATCCACATATAAGCATTCAGTAGGTAGGTATATTAATATAATTACAAGAATTACAAGAATATTATTAGAAGAATTGCAATTAAAAAAAATAATACATGACTTTTCTTAGTTGTTTCTAAGTAAAGTACTGTATGATAAATTGTATAATAGTACTGTATGATATATGTTTAGGCTGTTTAGAATGTAAGTTTATAATATTTTATACATTTTTTTTTTTTTTTTTGATACTTTTACCATGGAAAATAAACTAAATGAACGTTTAAAGTTACTTTACAATGAGGAAAATGCCAGTAGTAAATATTTTAAGTTAAGTCAAATTTATACGCAACTAAGGGGCTTCGCTAGTACTGTCAGTTTCAGTTCAAGAGACCTAAAGTTTTGACAAATGTAACATTAGCTAGTGTACATTACCTTCCGTACTCTAAAAAAATCTGATTTCAACAGAAAAATGTCTATAGACATAGCCAAGTAGGTACGAAATACATTAAACAAATGGAATCTTATATAATTTTGAACTGTGGGTAGTAATTGAAAACTTGAAAATATGGGCTTTATCAAATCATTATTGTAATTAATCTGAAAATTAAAATATTTTGAACATTTTTGATAGTTTGAGATTACTTTGAGATACTTTAGATTGGAGAACACGGACACTTTGTACTATTATATACATAAAGTATATATTTAATATAAACAAGTCTGAAGTCATGACCAGACCATGTTATTAAGCTTAAATATTATTTCTTAAATCTAAGTACCTATCTTATACATTCCAAATAGGAGGGAATCATGGGTTATTAGTTATTACCTATCGAAAATAAGTTTTATTTTTCATTTTTACATATTTATGATTATATTTATATTATATTTTTAATTTACTTTTTAACATAACTTTTGATGATAAAATAATACAATTATAATTTATAATCATATTTAATTATTTGATGATTTTGATAATTTCAAGATTCTTAGGTTATCAAATTCCTAAATTAATTTATAAATATATTATAGCACTAAGTAATATTTGGCAGTTATCTAACCAGTTAATTAAAAAAAACTGATTATTTTATTAACTATTGTTACCTAATTTACTATATTTTTAAAAAATTTTAATTGACTATTTATTTAATTTTTACATTTTAATAATTGAAATTATATACCTACTTACTAGTTACTACTTAGGTATATATTATATAACTTATATTTACTTTATGTATATAATAGTTTAAAGTGTCCGCGTTCTGAAATGAACATTTTTACCCGACCGACCGTACAAAGTGTCATAGTTCTGCAGTGTACCTTTTTACCCGACCGTACAGAGTGTTCATGGTTTGCACTTTTAATGCTTGACCGTACAAATTTAGGTACCTAGAACCTTAAAACTTATACTAAATATACAATTAAATACCGCACGGTGACGACGAGATTAGAAATATACTTTATATAATTATATGTAATGAAGAAATATTTCAAATTATAAATGAACAGCTATAACCTATTCCTATACAATATGTAGTGACCAATGTTTTTTTTTTGTTTCAGTAAAAAAATATTTACATTCAAAGCTATGTTGAGTATCATAGATGTAAGGGAGCATTACAATGTTAAGTCAGGTAGTGGAAGGGAAATAGGGGATAAAACTATTCTGAACCCAACTTAGTGACCCACCCATAACATTAGTGCTAGACTTGAAACTGCTATGTATGTAATGTATACTACAACACTATAATTAAATAATATAATTAAAAGTAGTGAGGCGATTTTTCTAAGAGAACAACCTTTTGTCACTGTCTTGAGTTTCTGTAGTCTCGGTCCTCCAAAATAGATTTGGTCGATTTCCATAATTATGTTGAATGTATCCTCGTCTCTCGTAACTATTGGATATCGAATGTATCGATTCAGTAGCATTTGTTGTGGCAGCCGCTGCTAGTGGTGCGCCGGGTCTGATCCTGCTAAATGTCAGCAACATAGCTCCCCTTTTGTGCAAACGTATCTTATCCGGGTGGTCCAGTATGTCTGACAAGCCGTCGCACGAATCGTTACTGCTAACCGCCAACCTTAACATTGTGACGTAGTCTTTGTCTTCGGTCTTCTCATACACCTGTGGTCCGTGAGAACGAGATAAATAGAATAAATATTAATCAACATTATAGAAATAAACTCTGGAAGCAAGTGTCAGGGGGTTAAAGGGGATCATTTTGTAGTTATCTCAAAATTATATTAAGTGGTTGTTCATGTATTTTGTGTACACAAATTTATATCTTATAAAGTAGTTTGCCAATAATTAATCTTAGATTGGTGACTGAATTTTAAAATGTTAAAATACTATGGCATAATGATTACATATACCTAATAATTAAATAATAATAATAATATTTTATACTATCATTGGAATTGGAATAATGTAGTACTACCTAATCAAGTGTTTTAAAGGCACCTAGATGGGATTTTCAATAATATGAAAACATATGATATATTTAAACTAATTAGATATACAGAAATATATGTTTTTAAAAATAGAATGATTGATCAGAAGTTGATTTAATGACGAATTTAAATAAGTTTTCAGATGTACCAGTAGCAGCTGTAGGTCCACCTTATTATAAACATAATATACTTACGGCACATCTGTGATTTTTTCTTTCCACCTTGCGGACACCATCATCGTATAGTTTTATGTACATACGTCCCTTTCTGATGTCTTCTGACGGTGAGGGTGATTTTGATACGCAGTAAAAACGAAAATATTCAATAGCTAGATAACAAATACAAATACAAATTAATGTGAATATGTGTTATTTTTAAAACGTATACCTACCTATATAAATTATTATAATACAAAATTAGTGATATTCGATGAGGGATACAACCGCCAATCATCATCAAACAGTTTATCATTGAAGATGATTTTTGGAACCAGAATGACTAATGACAGTATAATACCTAAATATCTAAACTATTAAGTGCCTTTCAAGTGTAGAATTTTTATATTACGGTATAAAAATTAATGAAATTAACGGAGCATCGTCCCTCTTAATATCTGGATATGTTAATTTAACCTAATCACAGACTGTTCATAGTAGTAGCTTGAAATTTTTTTCAGGATATGCTACTATGCAAGAATCCTGTGTACCAATTTAAGAAATAGGGCATGCCCCCCTAAGCCCTTCAGTAAGATTCACACTCATAAGGAAACACTGATATACTTATAGACATTTTAAATTGTATACATAAACATATAAACAAATTAGCTGTTCCTATATTTGCTATCAAACATAATGCATTAATTGGCTGAATCAAATATTATTAAAAACAATACGTTACACATTTCAAAATTTTGTAATATTAACATGTGAAAACGTCAACGGTCAACACATAACTATAGCTATTATAATGTTAATAATGACACTACATAGTATTATTAATTATCAAACAAACATTGACAATGTTGAACAGAAAAAGTAATTTATACAATATTATAATTCATTTTAGTTAATTATGCCTATAGTTACCTATTGGTTATTAGGTAGGAAAAATACTCAAAACTAAATTTTCAATTGTTTTCTAGATTAAAACTAGTTTTGAAATTCAAATTTAAATCGAAATTTCTTATGTTTATAAATTGTAATTTTTAATTTTAAAATTGATAAATAACTTAAATTTTATTGTTTTATGACGACCATTATTTAGGCCATTAACGTAATATACAATTTTTCAAGGCATTATATGCGTTTATTTATGATAAATGCATAATTTTTAGGACATTTTTATAGGTTTATTGGTTTATAAAATAATTTTACAACTGTCGAGGTTTTGAAGAAGTTTGTCAACATTTTAACTTTAAATGCTTATTAATAAAAAGTACCTATCTTTGATGTTTTTAAATTGCTATTATAAAAACTTATGAGTTATGAGGAATCTTGTATTTAATTTCTAACTGTTTGACACAACAAACAGTTGAAGGAAAAAAACTAAAATTTTTTTTAAATTTTTCATGTAAAATCATTATAGATTAAGTAATTGAAATGAATAAAACCACTATTTTATTATTCACAAAGTTGAAATTCAATGTTGTCCCATTAACTAGTTTATGAGACATTACATTTATATGGACAACACCCACACCCCATACACACTAGGTACCCTAGGGGATTTTAACGTACGCGTTCACGTTTTTAAAATGTCACAAATAATATATTGATATTTATTACAGAAATTTAGATATTATAATATTATATTATTATATGCTAGGAAAAAAATACAATGTTCACAATAACGGACGGACGAAATGTTTTTTTAGTTGTTTTCGTTTCGAATAGATTAGTATGTAATTCCACGACATTGACGCTTCCGAATAATCGGATCCGGGTTCAGACTGTAGGCATTGTCGGACCATGATAGCCGCACGCAAGGCGGGTGCCCTATCGGACTCTCGCCCTACGGAACCCCTAAGAGTCACTGGAACTTTGCCATCTGCTAGCTAGGTCCGCCGTACCCGTGAGCCGACCGCTTCGTCAGAACATAATTTTTACGAATATACAATCTATTGAAGAAACGCAGAAACAAACTATTCCGAAAAAAACAATTTCGAACGCTTGTACCGCCATGTGAGCGCTTGGCCCTTGACGAACGGTAAGTGCTTTACACACATTAGTCATTAGCTGACATTGTTTTGAATATTTATATCAAGATTTCTTGTAAGTATTTTATACGGATATCAAAAAATCTATTAATATATGAAATGAACACTTGAAACAATCTCATTTTAGTTTATATTTAATAATTCTATAAATAAACAAATTGGGGTAAAAGACTAATAATAATATCAATGATTATGTATCAAGCATTATGTATTGTACTGATATATTAATTTAAAATATTTTACAGGCATTGTGTAGGAATTTTGAGGAATTCGATATATCCTGGACAATATAAATTATTAATCTAATAATTAATGTTACTACTTGTTTTACTATTATTAAACAGGAAGAGCTTTCTTAGAGTCATTTGTACAGTGTAGAATCCTTTATTGTACTAAGATAATAGATTGTTACACTTACCACTATTATTGCAATTTTTCGCAATTTCATATACGTTTCCGAACCATAAGCTAAATGTTTGTGGTTTTATGTCACTAGAATTGTAGGTTATGTAGGCACATCCACCGTTCAACGTCGAAACTGAACCCTTCACTTTAACTTTATACTCAGCATTATCTAGATACGGACAACCTTCGATTTCTGAAGCGACTGTAATATATAGTAAATAAATATAATTAGTAGGTGTTTTTATAATGAGTTTTCTAATTATGGGTGGTTTTTCATTTGGAAAAAAAGGTTAGTGGCTTAAAATCTTAATGTATTTATTTAACAAACAAAAAATTAAATTTTTGTATTTATGAATAAAGGGTAGCCTGAGGTTGAATTCAGGGATAAAAAGTAGTCATAAAAAGGCTGCATAAAGGCTACGAGTACCAACGAATCTTTACTTTTATTGAAAATTAGTGTAAACTTGTGTACAACTTTAAAGAGAATATATAGTTAGACTTATTTCTATATGTATTTAATAAATAAATACCCCACTTTATTTTCATATTCTTCATGTATATTGTCAACTTAAATGGCTTTTAAGTGACTATATGATACAGCCATAAAAAAAATAAAAACTGTTGATATTATTTTTGTTTGATTTTATCAGTTGTTACTACCATAAGGCCGAGGCTTGTGAAAAAATACACAAGTCAGTTTTGAAAAATTAAATATTATACTTGTGTATATAAATTTAGGAAAGATCGATCGGTGGCACTGCAATTTGGCGGTATTTAAGGTTTAAGGTACTCCGCGCCACGAGAGAAGGAACCCGTTCGATTACGCTCATCGCCATGTATTTTACATACACTAAATGGCTCAAAGTAGGAGAATGCCTACAGTCTGCATGCGCGAAACGAGTTCCTTCTATCATGGCGTGGAGTATAGATAATAAAATAATTAAGAATAAGCACGGACTAAGATATACTGGACTGGTATCGACTACCTTATCAGTAGCTCTCAAATGTTTTAAAAGTACAACTAGGGGTAAAAGCACCATCTATACATGTGTTATATAAAACACAATGATAATAATGATTGTTCTATGTAAATTATACCTATATAATATAATATCAGTTCCGTTATTTGTTACTAGGAGGCTTTTACCCCTAGTTCACGATTATAAATAAACTATAATCGTGCCCTAGTCGTACCTTACGGCGGCCTATTAGGATAGGGGAGGTGCAGTGTCGAAACATTTGAGGATCGTTCCTCTACTACAGCCCCCCCCCCCCAACCATGCCGATACCTGTCCAGTATATCTTAGTCCGTGAGATGTATTTGTTGATGGGTGAATCATGTAGTTACTTAAAAGGCATTAAAGTTTATAATAAACAGGAACAATATGAAAAGAAAGTGGGGTAGAGACTACAGATGGTATTTCCGTTATAAAAATGTTCATCATAAAACAGCTAAATACGTAATAAATAAAATTCATTTGACTAGGTAACATTATAACAATGAATATGTGATTTGCTACAAATTGAATTGAATACCTATGCAATTATCAATTGTCAGACCGACTGAATGATATAAAAATGTTCATATTTAATATACTGAAAATAACGGTATTAACTAGTGATGTAAATTTTTATGAAAATTTTTTGTAAGATTTGTAAGATGTGTTTTCATAAATATTACCTAACAGCGATGATATGAACACCAAATATAGCAAATAAATTCTAACAATAAAGAAAATTATGTAATTAATACAATAGGTACTTACCTTCAGTCAAATCCTTATCGGTTTGCAAGTCTGCTGCCTCTCCGGTAACAGCTATGATGGTGAAAATCGATATAATCAGTACAATTATCGATGCCATGTTGTTTTTGTAAATGCAGGTCAGTCGATAAAACAAAGAAAATTTCAGCCAAACAAAAGCTGTGAATAAAATTAAGGTATCCAAAAAAAGCGTTCTATAGGAAGGTGGGTCACGAGTAGACTGCCGCACTGGTGAACTGGAACAAGGCGCTAAACGGAATGCACACTGGTCACTGTGTTCACTTACGCTGTGTACACCCTCCTCGAATTATTTAACAGGCCGTCTTGTTAGCTCTAGTGGTGGTATACTTTGCGCACGTTATGAGCATTACAAGGGCAGTTAATATGGAAAAAAACTGGTTTTGGGCGAGGGACAAGATGTGTTCTTAACAATACGCTGAGTATAATAGTCGTTTCTGCCACCAGCTGCATACCTACCTATAGAAGTGGCATCACGGAGTCCACCATTCGACACACCCGCTCGCCCACCCTACAATAAAGTGTTTATGTATCTACATAAACACAGATGGTATGGCCAAGATAGCAACCAAAAAAAATTAACGATAAAATCTACCTACTTCATATTAATAAACATTTATACCTAAGTATTTGATATATAATATTTATAATTATTAATTAATTACAATAGTTAAATTAAATTTGAATCAAAATGTTACTATGAACATAATATTATCATTTGGTAATTATATAAAGTAGGTACCTATATTATATATTATACTCAATGATATAATGTACAATTATTATTATATTATATAGGTTCATATATGTAAACTTATAGGCTATACCTAGGTATATACCTTATATTATAATATTACTTACCTATATCATATAATAATATGTAACGTATTGTCTGTTTTATTGTTAATGTGACTATGGAAATAAACATCACGTAGTATGTATACCACCCATGTTAACTACCTACTCAAATATGTTGTTCATATATTATAATGACTAATGACTAGATGTCTAGATATAATATATTTTGATTGAAAAAACATTGTAACATTTAACTAATATGATTATATGAGTCACCTTATACCGTATAATATCATATTATGATTATAGTTGGATTATCTGTCTACCCAGCGATAACTGTCGAGCGGCAGTTTCAATGCAAGATTCACTGAATCCGATTCAGTGAAATAATATTTCCATCGAAATAACTATTTATAAGATTTAGATTTTGTGGCCTTTCATAATGATAATTAATAAACAAAAAAAAAAAAAAAATATATATTTTTAATAGCTTCTATAAATTTAATTTTTAATTAATTGTTATTTACACGCAGTTAGTATTTTTTTAAATAGAAACTCAAACTTAAAGTCTACCCTGACTCCAAAATCTCCAATTTGAGCCACCCCTGTTTACCAGGTATTTTATAAATTAGGCTTCCTAAATAAAACTTATTTACTTTTATCAATATTCATTATTTTATTTTTCGTTAATTTACTAGCAATAATGATTGTACTTTTACCTACAATTAATGGTTTACATCCGCTGTTTTCAAAATTGAGCTGATACGAAAAACTGTGAGAAATTTGCATGGCTGTCGTTCCGAAACTCGAAATATAAAACGTAATTTTACTTGTCGATCGACATAATATAATTTATTATTACCGATATCTATCGTAGTCACATAACAATATGCGTTTTTGGACTTCGACGTATATGGTCTATATTTTATGTTGTATATTTTAATAACTACATGATTAGTGTTGTTTCGTCCATATTTTGAGTTCCCAAGTAATTTTGAAAAAATTATTATTTTAAAGGATATCCTAGGCATACGAGAAAAAAAACAGTCACTGGCAATATCACTAAATCGACACTTACAATGTATATGGTATGTCAACTTGATACCGGTTGGACCTACCGCATATACCCCCCATGGGACATGATTAATGGCTTTAATATTCGGATAAGGAAACGGTCAACTTATACGCAGCTACAGTCCTGTCCCCCTAAATATTATAATGCCTCTAAACTATATACTACCATAGTTCATACGTGTAGTTTCAAGTGCTTATGTAGTCGTTTTCCTCGATGTCTTGTTAAATTATAATATTTAGGTATATATAAAAACACAGTTCAAGGATTTATTTGGAGACGATTTTGTCCAGTTGCGTTTAAATAATTTGTAGTCTGTGTATCTGTGGGAGGGGGTATGAAGATAATATTTTAACATTTACTTTGATCATTAAAAACATAGTTAAAGGATTGGATTATAGATAAATTTATTTAATAAACACATTAATACTAAAAATTTATTGAATTGTTAAAAAATGTACATAAATAAGTAATCATTTTTTTATTTTCCAGTTCATCTAATAAATTAACTATGGATTAAATTTTTACAACTGTGCAATGAACAGCCATTAAAACGACTCTAGAGTCTAGAATATCATATAACAACACAACTAATAAATATCAAAGTCATAAAAAATAAGTTTAAACATATTTTTGATTTATTTGTAAAATAAATGAGAGAAAACATAAATAGTTAGGGTGACAATAAATGAATAATAATTATATGTTTGAAGTCTCTATTAATTGAATAATAATTTATTGTAACTATTTTATTTATATAAATATTATCGTTTAGCCTAGAGCACTTTTAATAAGTACAGTGATTTACTTCTACCATAGACCATAGTGTTTCTTAAATAAGAGATAAAAGATATAGACTTCAATGGAATAATATTCCTATGTAACAAAACACGAATCGTGTATACGGCCTGCCGGGTTTGTGGCCGCCTACTGTCCCCTTTTTTCGTACCGGCTGTTCGGTACAACCAAGACCCAGTTATTGTCACAATTACCAAAGCAGGTGACACAGGCTGAAACCCAAAACCACGCTGGTGGTCTTCGTTCACATCGATCGTTATCGGACCGCACCGCCGCCCACCGCGAACGCCGTTCACTTAAATCGGGCAGCAAAACTACACCCACCACCACCAGTTACCGGCTACGTGTAATACTTTCTTCCACCACCGTCGGCATTTTTGAGCGGTGTATGTTCATCGATCGCCGCCCGCCACGTCCAATTATTTTCATGCTGCACGAGGCAATAATAAAAATAATAATAATATTTTATTCGTCGATGTCCTATCGCCAGCCAATATAATATAGTGCACGAGGAACGGTATTTCAACAAAATCGGCACCTAATTTTTTTTTTGTTAAGCTATAATTTGTAAAATAATGTTCGTACAACATGAGCTCGGAAATTGTCGTGTAACCTATAAAAATGAGTAGCTAAATAAGTTTATAAAATTATAAATTATGAATGCATTGAAGAACTATATTTTACAGTAGATAATATAAACTATAAAGACAGTTAAAATGTCTACAGATATAGATAATCAATAAATTGAGCTTACTTGTGATCCATCAATAAACAAATGTTTATTGAAATTTGAAACTATTTTGGATATGTTTTGCCGTTTTGGGCACTCTTATGCACGGGAAACTACGCAAAACTAGCAGCTAGTCTTTTTTTCTTTCATGGCCTACAATATTGACAAGAGTCGTGAAAATATTGTTACAAAAACTGTGGTTTTCGAGTCAAAAAGGTAGAACACTACTAGTCAAAACCATAGGAAGGATGAAAAATATTTTTTTTATTAAAAAATGTAAAATTCATTAGGTATATCTTTGACAACAATTTTATCCACTCCAAATTTTAATAAAAATAATTTTGGGCATTTGTTTGTCCAAGTGAAAGTAAATAGTTGGGGTACTCTGCAAAGAAAAAATAAAAATAAAAGGGGAGCTCTGTCCTCCTGCGCTTCCCCCCCCCCTCACTAATTCGAGCACTGCCTACATCTTGAGATTGCTATAAAATACCAACTAAAAAGTGGAGTTGCTGACGCTCTAGGGGGGGTCACACCCCCTCCACCCCTAGGATAGCCACTGGTCAGTGACCGTGTCGTTTTGCCAAGTTCGATACGATTGTATAATCCGGCATTGCATCATCCAAATCGTGCCGTCAATCATTGCCACTGTCGACATCGATATAAAGTTATATAAACTAAAACGTGGTCCTGTGAACCGATACGGTACTATATTATTATCTTTGTTATTGAGTATTATTATAATTAATATTGGTATTTTGTTGAGCTCGGCCGAACAGACGTCTTCGACAATCACTATATTATTAACACTTTTCTTAAGTTTGGTTACACGTCTGTCTGTGATCAAATCTTGCGCGCTCGATTTGAGGCACTTTTTGAAGATGAAAAATTCTGAAAATTTGTATAGACCTTGGTCTTGGATGACAATACAATAATCCGTAAAAAAATTTTTTTAACTAAAAAGTAGAAAATAAAAAATTAAAAAATTATTTTTTAAAAACACACTTTTCTAAAAAAACAAAAAAATAATGAAAAATTTAAAAGTGTGTGGCGCTCTTAAACTTGACATATTATACCACACACTTTTAAATTTTTCATTATTTTTTTGTTTTTTTAGAAAAGTGTGTTTTTAAAAAATAATTTTTTTATTATTCCATTGGACATTATTCGTCCCAATATAATTTATTATTATAGTACCTATACCTAATATAATATTATTTTATCATTGTTAATTTTCTAGTCACCCTACTCATAAAGTCATATACGACTCCGTGAACGCCAATTTTTATTTATAATAGTTGCTTGGCCAAATGCTAGTTAATATCCGGCAACGAAAAAATATATTATGATGTAGGTTTTTCAAATAAAATCAATTTTAGCTGTAGGTACCTATAATATTTTCAAGCATATTATTATATATTGGCAGTTATAAGGATTTCTATAGTGGAAAAAGTCCCAAACCTTCAATAAACTGCACCTATATACTATATAGTATACATATACAAAAAAAATACATCTGCCCTATAGTTTACATAATAGGTACAATACTATATATTATTACTATGTGTGTGTGTGTGCGCAGTTTTAGAGTGGGTAGGTGCTGTGACATGTGGTGTGCCCACCGAATATATACGGGGCACAAAAATACTTATATAGTTATATTCTATAACATCATTTCATCCCCAGA